AGTGACTGGGATAATTGGGATGGGTGTGTCAGAGACAGTGCGATTGGCACAGGACAGAGCAGAGTTTAGGGCTGTTGTACATAGGGTCGCTATGAGTTGCAAGCAACGGCACATAACAACAACAACAATAGGTGTTGCAAATAAGGTGGTGATTAACAATGAAACAGTTCTTGCTGGTTGGTGCTACTGAGTCAGTTTGGTACACAATCCACACAAAATCTGCTTTAGCACAGTTGTTGCAGTTACTCTGTCAGTTCATCCCCCTGAAGGTCTTCCTCTCCTTTGATGATGCATGATGTTCTCCAGAGATTGGCTCCTTCTGATAACATGCCCAAAATATGTGACATGATCATGCCTCAAAGAAACGTTCTGCCTTTTGAGTAGTTGATGGTATATTCCATTCAATATGTTGTTTGACTTCCATGAGTGTTGATTATGGATTTAAGTAAAATTAAATCCTTGACAACTTAAATCGTTTCTCCATTTATCATGATGTTGTTTATTGATTCTGTTGTGAGAATCTTTGGGGTGTCATCTGTAATGAAGGCTATTGGGCTTTACGTCATGATAAATGCTTTACGTCCTCTTTGTTTTCTAAAAGTACATGAAACAGCTCTCTTGTAAAATACTATATACTAGGGGACTTAGCGAAGATGTATCATGCTCTAGGTTTTCTTGAGATGCTGAGGAGAAAGGGGTCCCCAAGTTTTCTCAGCCAACTCTTCTACTACCCTGTTTCTAAGTACTTTATACATACTAGCTTCATTTCATTTTTGCATCAGCTTGTGAGATAAGTGATTATTATTTTCCTCATTTTATCAGAGGGGAAACCCAGATTTTAAAAAGTCTGTTAGCCCATCAACAAACGAATGGATAGAGAAGCTATGGTATATGGAATATTATGCTGCATTGAAAAAGAAGGAACTCATGAAATATTCAAAATGGAGGACATGCTGATTGAAATATCTCAGTCACAAAAGAACAAATACTGCATAGTGCCACTGTTGTAAAACAGTACTGACTTCCAGTTGGGGGAAGACTGAGAAAGATGTATACTGCATTGAAACAGATGAGAGAACTGTTTAAAAGGAATATGTGATTAGGTATTATTGTCATGATAGGAGTCCAGAACACGAAGGCTGCATAGTAGAGTGGACCAGAGGGGAGGGATTGTAAAACAATGGAAGAATTTTCTTTTACTTTTCAAAGAGGAAAGTGTACTGGGGGGGGGGGGGGGCAGGGAGAAAAGTGCAACAATGAATGGAAATCCAAAGTCTGTAAATTTTCATTAAAATTAGTAATAATAATTATTTCTTTTTAAGTCAATTAAGTTGCCTACGATCACACAACAGGTAAGTGGTAGAGCAGGGATTTGAACCTGTGCTTTCTGGCAACAAAGGCCACATTCTTTTTTTCTTTTTTAAAAATTTTTCATTGTGATATGAATGACGCTTTACAGAGCGTTTTGGTTTCCCATTAAACAGTTCATATGTATGATGTTTTGTGACATTGAGTATACTCCCCATATTGTAACAGCATTCTCCCCACTTCCTCCTTGTTGTTGTTATTATTGTTAAGTACTGTCGAATTGGAACTGACCCATAGCTGACCCTCCAGCAGGTTTTCAGAGACAGTTAATCACACGGGAGGAGACTGCCTATCAACCTGCTGGTAGATTCTCACCTTTGAGATTGCAACACAGTGTCTTGCCACCAGGCCACCAGAGCTCCCTACCTTTTCTATCTTCTGAGATTTTCCGGGAAAATTCAGCTCTTTTGATCTTATATAATTGATTATAATTGATTGTTCAAAGGAGTATACTCCTCTTTCATGTTCTTGATCACCTTTTGGCTGCCTTATTATTTGGCTGAGAGTCTTGGAGGTCATTTCAGCTCTAGGTTTGCAGGGTGACTAAAGGCTGTGGTATCTGATCAATAAGCTTGGGCTTCTTTATGATTTTGAGTTTGTCCCACAGTTTCCTCTCAGTCTCTCAGGGACCTTTTGCAGTGGCTGGGCACTGTCTAGTTCTTAAGGTCTCAGGATCATGAAGACTAATGTTCACATGGTCCATTAGTTTTCTGGCAAAGCACACTCTCTTAACTGCTGTGCCAGCCAAGTTCATCTAGTGAGGGACAGAGATATAACATACAATTATAAATATACAATCCCCATTCATTCTCCAGCCTGGAAGCAGAAACGGCATCCACTTCAGAAATGGCTTGCCTCCAGAAACTCTATGTACAAACAGTGCTCAGGCTGTTCGTTCATAGGGTCGCTATGAGTCGTCTGCGACTCGACGGCACCAAACAACAACAACATTCATTCTCCAGAGAAAAAGTAGAAACTACTTTTTAAGGAGAGCTTCTGAGAGGTGACAGAGGCACTGATGTGTGGACTGAGTAAGGATTAGCCAAAGGGGAAGAGAGCTATGTTCCAGGTCTAGAGGAAGAGCAGTATATGGTCTTTGGTGGATCTGTAGGCAGTTTAGGGAGCTTCTGGATGTTGCAGATAGGTAATGAGCTCAGCTATTAACCGAAAGGTTCAAGTCCAGGTTGAGGTGCCTCAGAAGAAAGACTTGACAGTTTCCCAAAGATCAACACTGAAAATCCTGTACAGCACTGTTTTCCTTTGGTAGCTGGTATTAATGTGTATCATTTTTGTCTTCTTTTGTTGTAGGTTGGGTTTTTTTGGCACAGACGCAGGTTTTATTTGCACAGGGACTCTGAAAATGTAATTTAGAATGTCACACCTTTCACCAAGGTGTTGTGTTTTCACAGCAAGAGTAGGACATGCTTCCTATACTGGCCTAATGCACACACACCCAAAACTGAAACAAAAGCTTCATTAGTAATTCTTGGTCTTACTATGTGGGATGATGCAATCTTATTTTTAAAATACTATATTCTACCTTTTTTTAACATAAAAAAAAGTTTGAGTATTTTTTCATTGTTGCACATTTTCTTCTCTCCTCCCCCCAACCTTTCTGCAGGGCACCCCTTTTTCCAGATTCTTGTCATACATAAGTATATCTTCCTTTTGGATAGTTTGTCCCTTCATCCGATTTAACGCAGTGTTCATTATATATCCATTTTTTTCCTATTCTTTACCCGATTCCCCCCATGTCTGTCCTGTTTTATAACAGTACCACTGGGCCAACTGGCAGCATCCTGATAGATGATGAAGAGATTCAGATTGTTAACAGCTTCAGTTTGCTTGGCTCCACAATCAACACTTTTGGGACCAGGAAATGTAAAGACAAATTGCCTTGGGAAAGTTGGCTGTCAGACCTCTCCAAAGTACTGAAGAGCAATGATGTCAGTCTGGAGACTAAGGTGCACCTGATCCAGGCCATGGTCTTTCCAGTTACTTGCTGTGCATCAGAAAGCTGTACAATGACTGGAGATGATAGAGGAAAATTGATGCCTTTGAGCTGTGGTACTGGAGAAGAGTACTGAATATACCATGAATTGCTAGGAGAACAAACAGGTTCATCCTAGAGAGAGTAAAATCAGGCTGCTCCTTTGAGGCAAGGATTCTGAATCTCTGTCTGACATACATATTTTAGGGCAAGACCAGTCCTTAGAGAGGGATTTCATGCTTGGGAGGGTGGAGTGACAACACAGGAGAGGAAGACCCTGGATGAGATGGATTGAGTCAGTGACTGGGGTAATGGGGGTAGATGTGCCAGAGACGGTGCGATTGGCACAGGATAGAGCAGGGTTTAGGGCTGTTGTACATAGGGTCACTGTGAGTTGCAGGCAACTCGGCAGCACATAACATCAACAGTGTTATGCACTATTTGTTCTTTTATGGCTGACATATTTCACCAGCGTAATCTCCTCCAGGCTCCCTCAGTTGTATAATGTTTTACAAGTTCATTGTTTTTTCAATGCTGAATGTTTTTCTGTCCATTTATTTGTTGGTGGGCACTTGAGTTGCTTCCATCTCTTTGCTACTATGAATAACAAACGCAGCAATGAACATGGGTGTGCATCTGCTTTATTTTTTTAAATGTTATTAAAGATCCCCAATTTATTTTATGCTTTAAAGAGATGGGGGTTTTTTCCCCTCATGCTTTAGGACCGATAAAAAAACCACAACCAAACCCTTCAAGTCAGTTCTGATTCCTGACAACCCTGCATTGGGGGTACAGGGCTGTAAGTCTTTACAGGAGTTGTTGTTGTTGTTAGGTGCCATCAAGTCAGGTACAACTCCTAGCGAGCCTGTGAACAACAGACCTGAACCCTGGCCTGGCCTGTGCCGTCCTCACCATCTCTGACACACTCGAGCCCATCGCTGTAGTCACTGTGTCAGTCCATTCTGCCTAGGATCTCCCTCTCTTTTGCTGACCCTTCAGCTTTCCAAGCATGATGTCCCTTCCCAAGGAATAGCGTCTCCTAGCATCATGCCCGAAATATGCGAGATGAAGCTTCACCATCCTTGCCTTTAAGGAGCACTCTAGCTGCTCTTTTTCTAAAATATAGCAGTTTGTTCTTTTGACTGGCCAGGAGATATTCCATATTCTCTTCCAGCACAACTCAAAGGCATCAATTCTTCTTTTGTCCTTATTCATTGTCCAGCTCTCTGATACCTAGGAAGTGATGGCAAAGCCCATAGCTTGAATCATGCATACTGTGGTCTCTAAACTGACAGCGTTACTCTTCAGCACATTAGAGAAAGAGGTCCCTGACAGCCAACTTTCCCAATGCAGTACCTTTCCTGAGCTCCTGATTGCTGTTACCAGTGTTAAATCAAGTAAGCGGAAGTCATTGACAGCTTCAGTCTTTTCTCTATCAAGATGTTTCTTCCTGATCTAATGGTGAGGATTTCTGTCTTCTTCATGTGGAATTGCAGTCCATATTGAAGGCTGTAGTGCTGAATCTACTGCAGTGAGTGCTTCAGATCCTCCTCACTTTGAGCAAGCAAATGTCACCTGCAAATGCAGATTGTTGATGAGTCTTCCTCCAATCCTGATGCCACATTCTTCTCAACTCTAGCTTCTCAGATTATTTCCTCAGCATGCAGATTGAATAGATATGGAGAAATGATACAGCCCTGATGCACACCTTTCTTAATTTTAATCCATGCAGTGTTCCCTTGCTCTGTGACTGCCTCATTTCTCTCCCCTGGAGTGCCTGATGGACTCAAACCATTGACCTTGTCATTAGCAACCCAACCCTTAGTCTGCAGCACCACTAGCTCCCCTAAGCAGCTATAAGGGAGACTGGAGTACATCTGAATTCTAGGCTGCTGTGGTCCTAGCCAAACATCAGGGATTTCGGGCTCTGAGGGATGAAAAGAAGGCCAATTTGGGGATAACGAGGGGTCTTTACCCACCATCTCTCTCCCATCCCTACCCCCAGATTTCAGCATGGCAGGAACTGAAGCAGCTTCAGGAACAGATCCGGGACCTGGAACAGAAGAAGGGAGCAGTGGCTGAGGCTGTGCGAGCCCTGCTGGTGAGCATGGGAATCTGGGGTGGGAGGAAGGGGGTGCCTTTGGCTAAATATGACAGGAACCCAATCTGAGGAGTTGGACAGTGAGGACATTGGTCAGTAGTCCTAGTGTTTATTAATCACCTCTTCTCAGCACCTCTATCCCAGATTCTTGTCCTGACCTCAGTTTCCTCATTATTCCAAGATGGCTGCCTCTCAGGGCTCTGCCAGAGGGGAGACAGGGTGCCTGTTATGGCTTGAATGCCTCTTCCAGGAGCAAGGGGACCTTTCCTGGAGCATCTAGCAGGAACGGAGTGCCCCACGCTCACATCCGTCAGCAGCAGGAGTGGGGCTTCCGTTTTGGCTTACCTTCCACCTTCTGGTTGGGCCCAATTCCCTGCACCACAGGCTGCCTCGGGGAGAACTAGCAGAGTCAGGGCTTTGTGGGAAAGGAAGCTGTTTTGTACCGTCTACTCAGAACCTACTCATGGCTGGCACTCCAGTGGGTTTTTAGAGACTAAATCGCACAAGAGGAGATTAACCATCTTTCTCCCACAGATTCAAACCACTGGTTCACTGGTAGATCAAACCGTAAGCCTTTGGGTTGGCAGTGCAACTCCTTTTCACTAATCACCATAGTTCCCTGTGGGAAAGGAAGAAGGAGAGGAATGACTCCAGCAGTATGTCATGCAGAGGGCTCCAAAATGACCAGATCACAGAAATTACAGCAAACATTCCATAGTATCCGCTGGGTGTCAGGCACAGATCTCGGTGTGTCACTCACTCCTTCCTCACCCCAACTCTGCGAGACCCATTTTACAGCTGACAACACTGAGGCCTCAAGAAATCAAAAGTTGCCCAAGTTACAGCTAATAGGTAGAAGAGGTGAATTTTAATTCTGACCTCTAGGCTGCTTTTAAACACTGGCTCAAAGGCCTTTCCTACCACTGGTCATGTCTCCTGTGACCTACTGTGTGCCTGCCCCTGGCTCCACACATCCACATCCTTAAAACCCACCAATGAACATGTTAGCTGTTTGAGTCATCCAGGAGTTATAAAAATCTGGTGTAATAAAAATACCAAATCAACTGCCTTCAACTTAATTCTGACTTATGGCAACCCTCCATCGGGTTTCTGAGGCTATAAATATTTTGTTTTAGTCAGGAGACCCTTAATGTTTATTCTTTTTTTGTTTGGTTTTATTACATGAAGGTTTACAAATCATATTGGTTTTTCATACAGCCATTCATAGACATTTTGTTTTATAATATTGATTGCCTCTGATTAATAGAAGACGACTGCATTATTTTTCTCCCTTTGAGCAGCTGGTAGATTGGAAACACCAACCTTTCAGTTAGCAGCACAACATATAACCAGCTACACAACAAGGGTTTCTTCCATGGGTGGGCAGTAAGTGAAAACAGAATGAATCACAGTCCACGTTTAATGAGCACAAGCCATATAGCACCCCCATTTGCAGATGAGAAGACCAAGGCCAGAAAGGGAAGAGATTTGCCTAGTGCCTCACAGAGTGGCCAGCTTTCCTCAGTTGTATAGGATTACAGAAAGTTCATTATGCCCATGACTCTTGGGTGCAGTCTCTAACTGCATGCTCATGGATTGCCTTTGCAATCCTCACTTTCCTCATCTTCCAAAAGATGATCACATTGGTGCCAGCGTGAATAAATCAGAAAGTAAGAGCACATGGCCTGCGCTGGGCCTGGCACAGAGGTGGCTCTCCATAAACAGGAACCACAGGTGTGATTACAGTCAGATCCCCTAGCTTTCTCCCAGCTTTATAAATAGGGAAAGTGAGTCACAGAGTAGAGGAGGGACCTCACTGGGCTTACAGTAGCAGAATCAGAGATTCAGACTTCCTGGCCTTGTTTGACCTTTGGATTCCTTTCCCCTCCATTTTCTTAACCTCATTACCACCTCTGTCTCTCTTCCAGAAGGAAAATCAAGACAAGACTCAAATACAGCAGGTACTAGAGGGAGTTGATATCCTGTCTCCTGGGGGAGGGAAGTGACAGGGAGGCCACCAAAATAAGTCATGAGTCTTCAAATGGGACAGAAAATACAGGTTTAAGGTAAACAAGATTTTATTGATTCACTAAAAATCTGACTTCACGTACAGCTGGATCTAGGGCATGTCTCCACATCTTGATTCTGTTTTCCTCTCATTCCCAGACTAGCTTTCTCCCCTACAGTGGGCAGTGCAGTGTAGGGCTGGGTGTAGAGGATCCAGCACAAAGATGTCACCTCCCTGATAGTCGAGTTACCACCTTGGGGCTTGCATCCCCAGCTTGTCTCCCAATGGGATGCCTCCGTTGGCTGGGCCTGAGGCATGTCCCCATGTGGCAGTGACAAAATGCTGGGGCAAGAAAAGCCCACCACGGAGTTTGAGGGACCACCCCACCCTCTCTTGCTGATCTTGCTTGTCCAACCTCCAGGACCCCCAGTATCAGCATCTGCGGGCATGTGGCCGGGAGATCCGGAAGCAGCTTATCACCTTGTACCCCAGGGAGGCCCAGCTGGAGGAGCAGTTCTACCTCCAGGCACTGAGGCTGCCCAACCGGACCCACCCCGACGTGGTAAGTGCTATGTGGGGAAACCCAGGGCCCATCTAGTTCCACTGTCCTCATGATGCCCACTGTCTCCCTGCAGCCTGTTGGGGACGAGAGCCAGGCACGAGTGCTCCATGTTGTCGGAGACAGGCCAGGTGGGCAGCACCCCCAGCAGCACAGCATGCCCAAGCTGGGGTGTGGAGGGAACTTCTGGGGTCTACAGCTGTGCCCTGCAGGACCCCTGGCCACGGAAGTGACACCATTGTCACCAGGCTGTGTCTGATTCTTCTATTTCCTTAATTCTTCCGTGTGTGTGAGTGTGTGTGAGGCGTGTCCTCTCTGGGGGAGGGGGTGCACGTGCTCTCATGCTCGTCCTCCCTGGCTCTGTGTGTCTTTCTCTCTGATTCTCCTCTTACCCTCCTGTTTCCTTCATGTCTTCTCTTCATTTCTGGTTCTGCCTTCTACCTTTATCTCATTTCCCCATTATTCTTTCTCATCTCATTGTCCCTCTCGCACTTCCTCTGTCTTCCTTTCTTTCCTTTTCTCATCTTCCTTTTCTACCTCATTTCCCATCTTACACAATGCATTTCCTTAAAAGAAAAGAATATCTTACCTTGCTTTTGGTAGAAATTACACAGGAAACCCATTTCCATTTAATCCCATTGTTTTGTCTGCACACACAGCTTTCTCCTTCCAACCCCGGGGGCACCTAGAACTCGGTGAAAAGCTGGATATCATCCGTCAGAAGTGAGCCCCTCTTTCGCCCCCCGCCCCCACCCTGCCATCCCCACCCAACAGCTGGCACCCAGTAGGCCCCTAGGCTCAGCACAGCCTGTGCCTCAGCCAGGACCACACCCTGACATGAATATTTGATGCCTTGGCCCCACCTGGCAGCTGGGCCTCACCCCTGAGTGATGAGCTCCCCCCCTCCTACCAGCCCTGACCCACCTGTTTGTCTGTCTTCCAGGCGCCTATCCCACGTGTCTGGCCACCGTTCCTATTACTTGCGCGGAGCTGGCGCCCTCCTGCAGCATGGCCTGGTTAACTTCACCCTCAACAAACTCGTCCAGCGGGTATGGATTAGGATGGGAAGGGTGTCTGGAGGAGGTGGCCTTGGTACCAGACTTGGAGGACTTGGGTCAGCGGGATGGCCTCTGCCCAGAAGCTTTGTCCACACTTTTTGTTCTTTTGGCAGCCTGGTGAGGTGGGTGCTATCATTACCCCCACATCTTTGAGATGGCGCCTGAATAGGGCAAATGACCAACTCAGGGCCTCACAGAATGTGTGTGGAGCTGGCCCCAGAGCCTGAGCTCCTAGGGCAGCAGGGCACTGGCTGTCTGCAGTAGAAGGAGTTTGGGATTCTTGGTAACGTAGGGGGTAGTGTGGACAGAGGCTGATTCCACAGGGCTTCTGAAAGCCTGGTGGGCAAGGACTTCCACTACCAGCCCAAAGGCAGGTGGTTCAAATTCACCAGCTGCTCTGAGGGAGGATTGGCAATCTCCTTCTGTGCAATTTGCAGCCTCTGAAAACCTACTGAGGTCAGCTTTGAATTGGTTCTTTTTCATGGGCCATGAGGAGTCATGCCTTTCCCAAAGTTATTGACGAGCCATGAAAAGTGTTAAGCAGAGGAGGGGCCTAGTTCAGGCTTCCCTCCTTCCCTTTCTAATCTTCCTTTTCTTACCTCATCTTACACAATGCATTTCTTTAAAAGAATACCTTACTGTGCTTTTGGTAGAAATTACACAGGAAACCACGGTTTCCAATTAATCCCACTGCTTTATACTTCAGAACTTGCCCCTTTCCTGGGCTTATAGTAGCAGAATTCAGAACTTCAGAACTCCATGTCTACCCACCCTGTGTGGATTAAGTTGAGTGGAGAGGGGGCCCCAGTCTACACCCACTTGTCCTGGCCTTCCTCGCTTCCCGTTTGAAGCCAACAAAGTGGAATGACCAGGTGCCATTAGCTCATGCTGCAATGCCCCTTCTTCAGACCTGAGCCTGGAGCTGCTCCTCACCCCACCCTGTTTCCTTTCCAGGGCTTCACCCCTATGACAGTGCCCGACCTTCTCCGAGGAGCTGTGTTTGTGAGTGAGGCCCAGCTGTGTGCCATCTCCCGTTCTGGAGGTCTCTGCAAGGGTAGCCCAGGCCTAGCCTCCTAGAGGAGGAAGCCCGTCTCCCTGCCTCCTTAAGGAGACTGCCTGGTGCTGAGGGTGGGAGGTGGCAGTAAGAGGGTAAGAGCGTTTTAGATCTCCCAGGATATCTATGGTGAGGGCTGTGACTAAGATGGTCAAGGTTCCTTGTCCCCTGACCCCTGTGGCCTGGCTTCCCCCCACCCCAGGAAGGCTGTGGGATGGCAATGAATGCCAACCCATCCCAAGTTTACAACATCGACCCCTCTCGCTTCGAAGACCTTAACTTGGCCGGGACAGCAGAGGTGGGGCTGGCAGGTGAGGACTGTATAGGTGGTGAGGAGACTTCCTGTGTCCTGAGAGCAAGAAATTTTGTATGTGGACAACTGGGAGCATCTTGGGGGCTGGGGGTACCTGCCTAGACAGTACATGTACAGTCGTGGGAGTTGTCTACTGCGTAACAGTATGGTGAAGGAGCCAGCCATGTGCTCGGACATGGGAGTTGTAGCCACTAGAGATCTTTCCTGGCTCTCACTCTGTCTTGCCCTCTTCTCCTCCCAGGCTACTTCATGGACCACGCTGTGGCCTTCAGGGACCTGCCAGTCAGGTGATACCTAGTTCTTTAAGACTTATACCTCCTCCCCCCACCCCCCCCCCCCCGCCCCGTGACATTCTTTCCCTCCTCCCTGACCCAGTCTCACCTGTCCTCCTCAGGATGGTTTGTTCTAGCACCTGCTATCGGGCAGAGACAGATACAGGAAAGGAACCTTGGGGGCTCTACAGAGTGCACCATTTCACCAAGGTTGGTGTGGCCCAGGGCTAAGGCACTCGGTCACCCCAGCAGCACAGGGCCACCTGACCCTTTGTCCCCTCTCTGTTCCAGGTGGAGATGTTTGGGGTGACAGGCCCAGGACTGGAGCAGAGTTCACAGCTGCTGGAGGAGTTCTTGTCTCTACAGATGGAAATCCTGACAGAGCTGGGCTTGCATTTTCGGTGTGGAGAGGGGCATGGGCCAGTGTGGGGAGGACACGGCGAGGTGTTACCTGGGGGAAGCGCATCCCCACCCTCTTCCTCTTTGCCCTCCCTTTCTTGTTTTACAATGATAGGGTTGACTGTGGTAACACAGGCCCAAAATCACATGACAAAGCAATCCATGACATCCTCGCGTTTGGGACCCCAGGGTGTTGTCTGCCAGTGGAAAGTGGGGGTTCAGGGTGGGAGACACGCCCCTTCCATGGAGAGAATGGCCCAGACCTGGACCTCTAAACCCTCCTGTCAGCCACAAACAGCTTTCGGGGGCCACTGGAAGAGCTAGACATTTTTCTGTGTGCCTTATTACAAAAAAATGGGGTGCCTGCTAAGAATAAGCATCGTGAGGAGTGGATCAGCTCTGTCGTGCACCCTTTCACCTTCCCCCCTCTCTTTAGAGCATTTCTTTTCTCCTCTTCCACCTCACCTGCTCTGCCCTATTGCCTGTCTCCCAAGTTCTGCCTCTTTGCTGCTAGCCTCTCCTAGTGTACTTGCCCCGTCCTCCTCCTCACCTCCATCATTCCCTTGGCCCTCCCCTCACTGGTGATCACCCTGTCTCCCTCCCTCCTTGGCCGCAGAGTTCTGGACATGCCAACCCAGGAGCTGGGCCTTCCTGCCTACCGCAAATTTGACATTGAGGCCTGGATGCCAGGTCGTGGCCACTTCGGAGAGGTGAGCCCTGGGCCCCATGGGGACATGTGACCAGGAGAGAGGCTGGGACGGTCACACACACACACAGAGCTGATCCTTAACACTGTCTGCTTTCCAGGTCACCAGTGCATCCAACTGCACAGACTTCCAGAGCCGCCGTCTCCACATCATGTTCCAGGCGGAGGAGGCCGGAGGGCTACAGTTTGCACACACAGTGAGCAACTGCCCCCTCCCCAGAGGCCTTCACTCCCCTATATTAGACTCTTCCCAGGCTGAGGTCCTGAGCATGTCTCTCTCCCAGGTGAACGCAACAGCTTGTGCTGTTCCTCGTCTCCTGGTCGCCCTCCTGGAGAACTATCAGCAAAAGGTGAGCAGTGAAAGACCCCAGCTAAGAGGTAGGTGGGGGCTGCTAAGGCCGAGGCAGTGCTCTGAGGCCTCTCTCTCCTCAGGACGGCTCGATCCTTGTGCCCTCCGCCCTCCAGCCCTACCTCGGCATGGATTGCATCACGGTGCCTGCCCACGTGCCTCTGCGGTACATCGGCCCCAACCAGCCCCGGACCAACCAGCCCATCTCCCATACCAGCTTGTCTTGAGCTGAGATGCTGTGCACGTCTGCCAGTCACGCTGTCACTACAAGGCCTTGGTCAGCTAGGACTTGTATTACTGAGCCCATCTTGACTTCTGACCTTAAGTCATCAGCACACCAGAGGTCTAGGACTCCGGGGTCCTCCTCTCCTGACTTCCTAACCCCAGGTCACAAGGCCCCCAGCCTGCAGTGGGGACGGGTAAGGAGAGGCCTTCTATTCCCCCAACCCAGCCATATGGAGTAGAAAGTCATCAATAAAAGGACCAGACAAAGGGTCTTATGGATGTGTGCTGAGGGAAGGTACTGGGTTAGTGTTTGGAGTTTAAGCATCAAAGGGAGCATTGCTGCAAGAAGCATGCCTCAAACATCCAACCACTCCAGGAAACCTGACTGCCATGTCTTCCTCCTTCCACAGAACAAGCCAGCGTAGTCACCCCGTGACTCCTTTGCTCTAACCTGGCTTCCACCTACTCCCTTCAGCCCCTGCGTGCTCATCCAGCTACCTCCCCCAGCTCCTAGGAAGAACCCAGTAAGCATCACAAACTAAAGACCCAGATGGGTCCTCTGCCATTTCTCCAAGACTCGCTTTCCTAGGCATCCCCATCTTTGTCATTAATACTGGCTTTCTTGTTCTTTAGACTACACACACGCGCGCACACACACGCACGACATCTGCCATTCTTCTCTTCCCTCACACCCATGTTTAGCCCACTAGCACATTCTGAAAACCTCACCTTCAAAATAGTCCAGAACCTGTCCACTTCTTTCTCCCAGGGTAGTCCCAACTCTGGTCCTACCATCATCTTCCGTTAGATCTTCACAGCAGCCTCCTTGATGCCTCTCTGATCCCACACAGAGGGGCCTATGGAGGTCTGGGTCCAGTCAGCTCCCTCCCTAGACTCCATCCCACTGGACAAGGGGCAAAGCTGTCTTCATGGCTTGTGTCATATGCTCCCTGCCTTTCTCTTCGACCCATCTCTTCTTAGCCTTGACCTATCTTGCTGCTCTGAACACCTCAGTCTTTCTTAACGTGGACCTTTGTGCTTGCCCATCCTGCTGGATGATTCCCCTCCCGCTCCTGTGTGATTGGCACTGTTATTCATCAGACCTTCGCCTAAATGTCCCATCCTCAAAGAGGACATCCTTGAGCATCTGGCTTAGTTATCCAGAGCTTTTCCAACAGGATGGCTTCACCTAACAGATTTAGTCTCACAGTTTTTTAGTGGCTGTAAGTCAATTCAAGGAGCTAGCTCTAGGGGAGTGTTTTCTCTCTGGGCTCCTGGATCTAGGAGTTTTCCAACATAGAACCTGAGACCAAAGTCTACACTGTCCCAGGCTCTACTGTCTTGGTGGTCTGAGCTCCAACCCCTCCCTCCATTCTGTCTCACAATCAACACCCATAGCACCAACAGTCAAGACATCAGAAAAAAAGGAAATAAAAAAGGTGCTGCCATGGGAAAATCTGCTCTCTGGGGCTTCTCTAGAGTGCTAAAGAGCAACAATGTCAGTTTAAAGATGAAGGTGTGCTTGGTGCAAGATAATGGTATTTTCAGCCGCTTTCTAAGTTGGACAATCAGTGAAGATGAAAGAAGAATAATGATGCCTTTGAATTGTGGTGTTGGAGAAGAGAACAAAATGACAAAAGAACAAACAAGTCTGTTTTGGAAAGTACAAACCAGGGTGCTCCTTAAAGGGAAGGATGGTGAAACTTTTTTCCTCATCCTCTGGGCATGCTGTCAGAGGGGCCAGACTGCATGGAAAGACGTCATGCTGGGAAAGGTGAAAGGGCAGGGAAAAAGGACTTTGACAAGATGGATTAACGCAGTGACTTGAGCATATAAGAGATGGGAGGTGGGTGGGGGCAGGGCAAGTTTCAAACCTATTATTCATTTGATACCCATGAGTCGCAGTGGACTTGACAGCACCTAATCCTGCCTCATTAGGATTTGGATTTATAACACAATAATTACATAAAACCTATAATCGTGACCACACCAGGCTAGCACATACACAATTCAGCCTGTGTGGGAGCGAGACCAACGACTGGCTCCAAGCAGCAGCAGCCGCCCAGCCGCCAAGGGGTGTCTCTGGTCAGTGTTATTTCACCAGTTTGCAAGCATGGGGAGTATTTTTGCCAACCCCTTCAAGGGCCTTTTTGACAAAAAAGAAATGCACATTCTCATGGCTGGACTGGATGATGCAGAAAAGACCACTATTCTTTACGAACTAAAGCTTGGCAAAATAATAGTAACCACTGTTGATGGTGCAACTGGCACAGGATAGGGCAGAGTTTAGGGCTGTTGGATGTAGGGTCGCTAGGAGTCGCAGGCAACTCAACGGCACATAACAACAACATTCCTACTATAGGTTTTAATGTGGAAACTGTTGAGTACAAAAACATCAGCTTCACTGTGTGTGACGTGGGCAGTCAGGGTAAGATCCGAGCCCTGTGGCACCACTACTTCCAGAACACGCAAGGTTTGATCTTTGTGGTTGAGAGCAATGACCAGAGTGTGTGAACGAGGCCTGTGAAGAGCTCATGAGGATGTTGGTGGAAGTTGAACTCAGGGACGCCTTCTTAAGTATTTGCTCACAAGCAGGACCTTCTCAACACCGTGAATGCCGCTGAGATCACAGATCAACTGGGATTGCCCTCCCTTCGCCACAGAAATGGTACATTCAGGCCACCTGTGCCAGTGGAGATGGGCTTTATGAAGGACTGGGCTGGTGGTCCAATCAGCTCCAAAACCAGAAATGAGCCGAGACCTGTCCTCTTCCCTCTGCCTCCTTTTCCTCCTCCTTCCTCTCTCCACCCTGTTTTATGCTTATGTGGCAAACCGTGTGTCTCTGTGGTGTCGAGTGCCAGAAGCTGTCTCCATGGGTTTGGTCACAGTGTGTATGCACCATGCTGTAAATGCGGCAGACACAGCCTGCAAACAGGTTTTTTATGTAATGTAAATAGTTTTTGTTTCCAGTGAGACAGTTTCTTGTACTCCTAGGCAATATTACTCAGCATTTTTATTGTAGAAAAGAAAAATCAACTCACTGTTCAGTACTGAGAAGGGATTTCCACACATTGGTGCTAGGCTCCCAGGAGTTCCTGTGTTCATCCAGCCGAGTGCCCTCCTCCCCGTCGAGACCCATGCTGACATCCATCTTGGTGGCTGGTTTTTAACCTGAGCTCAGTGCATTTTTTTATAAAGTGGCTACAATAAAGGCGAACTCTTGAACACACAGAAGGGAGAAATATGCCTAGTGTAGGTTTCTAAAGTAACAACCTGAGAACTAGTCCATCTGATCAGTCTGTTTCCCTTTGTGAACGTGAGAGAAGGTGATAAAAACCCACGATCAATTTTGCATGGTCACAATAGAGATCCCTGTAATTATGCTTTGTCTTTGGTTCATCCTGTATTTCACAGAGTCTGTGCTTATACTTGTGCTCACATAGTTACCAAGGAAACAAGCTCTGAGGCTGTGCTTGGTCCAGGCTACCCTCTGAGCACAGCAGACCCTCTGTTGGATCTCTGGGCCCTAGACTTCTGGGCCACTTGTGTCGGCCACTCAGAAGGACCCACGGCAGGTACCTGTGCAACGGGCTATGGCATGAGCAGCAGCCTTTGGGCTCTCAATTTCAAAGAAAGCAAAGAACTACCAACCTTTATTTCGGTCAGGTGTGTGGTGTTTTCATGTGACCACTTATCAGAGCAGAGAGCCCATTACTCCCAGTGCATACTCAGAGACCTTGGCCAGAGCAGCAGACTCCTAGAGCTTCGGGCCTCCCACGGGTGCACGCGAACTGGGAGCATCCCACCTAGAGCACACACCCCTCCAGAGCACCCATCTGTATGTGTGTGAAGTAGCTTCCACTCCCTCGTCCTGCAAGGGTCAGATGTGCCAGCAAGAAAAAGACAACCTCTACACTTATTTAGTATTTTGATAAACACTGAAGAAGCCGGAGCTGTTAAATTTTATCTCCAGGGTGAGAACCCCTCAGTATCTGGTGTCGTGGAACCTTTTACTGCTTTCAATACACAATTAGTAATCAATTATTTTGTATACTTGTTTTCCGTTTTCTACACACAGTAATTATAGCTATTAGAATAAAATCTCTTAACTATTTAAAAAATAACAAACCAACTGAACCTGTGACACTAACCAAAATAGCTTCATCGGTCTGTACCTATGTCTGTCCTTGTATTTGATGTGTTGTAGTCATTCCTCCCTTCATATTATACTATTTGAGTAGTCTTTGTCTCCTGTTCTAGGTGGAAGAGTTGCTTACCACTGATCTTTCACTGTAATAGCTCCAGGCTTCAAAAGTAGGATTGACAGAAGTATCTTCCTCACTGCCGTCAAGTGGGATCAGACTCAGAGCTGACAAATCACATGCGAGGAAAATGCCCATTTTTCTCCCTGAGCCACTGGTGGATTCAAAGCACAAAACACTGCCACCTTTGGGTGAGCAACAACCCTCTACAGACCACATCACCAGAACTCCCTGGCACAGTCCCAGCTCCAATAAAAATTCCTGGAACGAATGAACGTGCTAGGGATGGGCCTAAGCACTCTCCACAGTCACTTTAATCCTCACAATTCAGCTCAAGAATCGAGTATCAACCTATTTTAGGAATGTGGGGACAGGTCTTGCAGTGGTTAAGGGCTACTGGTGTGTGTCAATGTACAGGAGAAACTGAGCAGGCACGCTGGCATGTTTTCTATACCTCATTACTGTCGAGTCATAGCTGACCCTCTGTTGAGTTTCTGAGGCTGTGAACTGCACAGGAAGAGATTTCCCATCCTTCTGAGGAGGTACTGTTGGGTTTGAACCACCAGAGAGGCATGACCTCTGGATTATCAGCACTTCTTAGGGACTATGCCACCAGAGCTCCCTTTTGTTTTCTAGCTCTATCATCTTCACAATAATGTATTTTACAAAGGAGATGGGTGGTTCAGCAGAAGGATCCTTGCCTTCCATGTGGAAGACCGAGATGGGATTCCTGGCCAATGCATCTCTGTCCTTATCAGTGGAGATTTGCATGTTGCTATGCAGAGATTCCAGATGATGGATTAAGAAGTATAGCTTGGCATCTACTTCTGAAATTCAGTGAAAACTCTATAAATAGGCCAAACTACCTAGTGGAATCCATGATTGATGATAAGAATGTAGGAGGACAATTCTGAGCCACTGTACTCACAGTAATCACGAGTCTGGTAACTGGCCGTTCCTGTGTGCTGTCTGAACAGACTCAGAGCTGACCTTCCATCAAGTGTTCAGAGGTCGAGGATCGCAAGGGAGGAAAATGCCCGTCTTTCTCCCTTTGGAATAGCTGGTAGATCTGAACCCTGGTCTTTGGGTTGGTAGTGCAACTCCTTAGCACTAAAGCCACTAGAGCTTGACAGCAGCCAACAATAATGGACAGGTTTAGACAGCTGCCCTGGGGTTGCACAGATGGTAGTTACAGAGCTGGGGCTTGGGCCAGAACTCAATCTCTGAGGTAGGTTTATGAGGCCACTTTTGAGATGAGAAAACTGAGAACCAGCCGGGATCTCTGTGTAAGTGATTACCACTAGAGGAGAACCCATTTAGCCTCTTAATGTAGTGGTTGAGCTCCTGAGATGCTACTTCTCTGGGAAGCACCCTAGCTTTGACGCTGGAAGGCCCAAGGGGCAGTGCAGGCAGAGCAAGAAGCCCCATTAATAATTGAAGGTCGCCAGCAAGCTGGTCGCCCTGCAGCTGTTGCCCAGGCTGTGGGCGAGGAGGCGGTGGCGATGTCACTTCCTGCCCTCCAGGCCATGGGCAGGGGTTATAAGGAGCTCCTGGTCTGGGCAGGCACAGCACTGAGGACCCTGGCCCATATGCCCACTATGCACTGCCATGGGCCTCCCTCCACGCTACCGCTGTTGCTTGCGCTTCTGGTGGGGACAGGTGAGCATCTGAAACCACGAGGGGACTTTGGTGTGACTCGAGTGACCAAACACAGGAACCATGTGCTCAGAGGGGGAAGAGGAGAGTAGGGCACGGGACTGGACTGACTTAGAGGTGGGGTGACCCGTGGGTACTGAGATGCCCAGTGAGCTAGGATCAGCACAGAGGACAGCACATGGGGATGTCAAAACTGGGTGCCTAAATCTACTTTCTTCCTCTGCAGTTTCAGCAGCTCCCTTGGCAGCCAAACCTTGCAAGGAGGTGAGGACTGTGGGCCCCCTGTGCCCAGCATGCTTACCTGTCCAGCTTCTTCCATCACCCTCACCTGGCAGGCAGCTCACCTACTGCTTCATTCCAGCCCCACCTCTCCTGCTCTCAACTTCGTTCTTTTCTGACCCTTCTACCAGCCGACCTGCTGTCTGGCAGAGGTGGTCACAGAGGTGCTGACGCAGGGCCAGCCCCTGAGAGGACCCTGCATGGCTCTCCTCCATAAAGGTAAGGACACCCCATGATTTCATCAGCCCACGCGCCCACCCAAGGTTCTGCCCAGTTTTGCGGCCGTAGTTGCAAGCACTGTAAGGGTTGCCTGGAGGAAGGGGCCCCCTTCACATACCCAGAGAAGTTGCCCATGGGCTAGCAGGCCCTGTCTGCATTCCCAGAACCACCCTTTGGAGCTCTCTGAAAAGATGCAAGGTGGGGTCAGAGAATATCCTCCAGCCCTGAACCCACTCCCAGTCCTGGACACCTGCCATGGGAACTCCTACAGGTTATAAAACCTCTTCCAAGTCCAAGTTTCCCAAACAGGTGCACAGAGAGCTTTGTCTTTGTCCACCAGAGATATGCAAGGCAGAGCCCTATGGAGGCATGTCCACCAAGGGAAAAGGTCTGCTGGGTGGAGAGTTACAGAAGCGAGAGGCTGGGAAGACCAGGTCCTGCCAGGAGGTGAAGGACAAGGAGGAAGAGGAGGCAGCAGAGCACACCCACAAATCTGAGGTCTGGAAGCAGGCGGTCCAAGAACAGCTCCATGGCCTACTCCACCAGGAGGATGAGGAGGAAGAGGGAAAGAGGAAGGGGCCCCTGGAGGCTTTGGAGGACATGTGGAAGCATCTAGAGAGGGGAGAGGGTCCCAGAAAGCGGGTGGCAGAGAAAGCCAGTGATGAGGAGACAGCCCAGTTTGAGGCCGAGCAGGGGATGCGGGTGCTTGGGGGGGGCCACAGCATGTGGCAGGGGTCCAACAAAGGAGGAGGGGAGAGGCATGAGGACTCGCTGCACCACCACCGCCAATCCGAAGCAGAGCTCAAAGAGGAGACTTCGGAAAGAGAGGTGAGTAGAAGAGTCAAGTGGCCATTATACCAATGCAATGGGACAGCAGTGCTGACCACAGACATTACTAGTACTAAAAGGTACTAGTGTTGGAAACAAGATCCAACATGAACGGATCAGGGTTTCTAAGACTGATCCCAAAGGTAGCAGTATCCAAGTATGTGGCCTCTAATTACCCAAATGGCCATACTGAGATGACACTAGTCAGGATGGTACAGAAGGCTCGAGTAAGCCACTGCTGGTCGACCCTAATGAGCAAACTGGCTGCTGTGAGCTATGGCCGCCATGCCTGGTTCCCTGGGTTACAGATCCCTGTTTGCCGGGGTCACCACGATTAGTAACAGTGCTCAAAACAGCCATCACCGCCCTAATGAGTCATGTTAGGTGCCTTGGCTTGTCCTGCATCCACTGCTGTGGCCTGTGGAGGTCTGCATGGACCTCACCGTTGGGTCATGCTGAGCAGCAGAACTCTTCCAGGGTATGACAACCAATATGCCCATCAGTGCGAGCCCATGATGACTTGAAGGACCACTGCTGGCTGCCCCGTAAGAACCAACATGCCTTGCAAGGTGGGTGAAGAGCCCCCTATTTTTGATCCCACCAGGAGCATGGCGTGGAACAGCTGAAGCACATGAGAGAAGAGCTGAAGAAGGCGACAGAGATGCTGGGGGAGGAACTCCAGAAGGAAGGCTGACTCCTGACCTTACACCCTTCTTCTTCTCTTATTGCTTAAGACTGTTGACCCCTGATACCCTTTCCTCACCTGGCACCCTACCCAAACCTGGCAGGAATGGGCAGAAGGTGGACACTTTGGAACTAGCCTTAAGGAAGCAACTCTTTGAGCTAGGTCGTGGGTACTGGATCAGACCTGATTCAGCAAAAGTGACTCCTTGCCAACAACACCCATCTAATCCACCCCCACCCCTCTGAGTGAATAAAGCACAAAGAAAACCCCCATGGCTTACTGTGCAGCACTTTAGTAGGATGGAAACAAGGGAATAAAACTGGAGGGCTGCGCAGAGTGCCCCCTGGTGGTTGGAACTGGGATTTTTATTCCTCTTGAAATTCTATTCATAATTAAACATGTTAGACTGGACGGTTAGGAGGAGGATTCAAGGCTGGGGTGGGAGATAGCTGGTCTTGGCTCCGGCCACTGTGGACCACAATGTCATCATATTCATCCTGGGAACAGAAGGGGGCCAGGCAGAGGGGTTCAGGCAGAGGCAGTATCTCTACTCCCAACCCTAAGAATTCCCTAAAGTTCAAGTTCTCCTGCTCCTAGTTCTCCATTTTCATTCATCCTTTTTCTCGCCGCCTGAGTTCTCCCACCACGACTAGTGCATCTAGTGCTGCCACTGCCCCACTTCTCAACAGCTTCGGCCAGGGGTCTCTTTCCTCCACTGGCTCAGCGTCTTCTCTTGCTGTAGTAATTCTGCTGCCTGGGTTTATCGCTGACTAAGGTCTTTCCCCACCATGTTGGTTTTCGGGTCTCTGCTGTTCATGACCATCTCCTCAAAGCCCCCAAAATTACTCCCTAGGCTGCCACCCACCCCAGCCTCTGTTCACACCCAGTATGACCAAGGTCCTCCCCCACCTCTGCCATAGTTTTCACTTTCAACAAGCACTGCTCCATTCTCCCCAACTGATCCCAATATCATTTGCTCTGCCACCTGAGTTCTCTCGTCACTGAAGCCAACTCCAAACCAAACCCACAGCCATCAAGTCAATTCTGACTGGTAGAAACCTGTAAAGGCTGTAAATCTTTGCTAGCACAAACTATCTCTCCCACGAGGAGCTGGTGGTTTGAACCATCAACCTTTTGGCTGCCAGTGGAATTCTTTCACCACCATCCCATCATGGCTCCTTATGGCAGACATGGATGGCCCCAATCAATGTACCACCTGATTTTTCCTTGGCCCTCTCCCACCTCCCAGGTCACCCTGTCCCCGCCCCTGCTGGGCCACCCAGTTCTTCCCAACTCACGCCCTCATCTCCACTGTCATTGCTGTTGCTGCTGCTGCTCCTGCAGGAGTCAGCCTTGTCATCGTCCTCGGGGTCAGTGGCACCATGGGCATGGAGGAGGCAGGCGAGTCCAGGGTTGGGCCGAAGCATGGCACTGCTCAGTGGGGTGCGGCCACCATACATGCGAGTGGCAGGGTCTGCACCCCCTTTCAGGAGAAGCTCCAGCACGTCAGCTGCTTGTGCCTCCACAGCCAAGTGCAAAGGGCTCCGGCCACAGGTGGGCTCCTGGGGGGTGGCAGGTGGGACGGCAAAAGATAGGTCAGAGGGCCCAAGGAGAGTGATGCGGCATGCAGGCTCTGGCGCGTGCTGGGGGACAAGCCCCTTCTCCACCACCCCGTCCCTATGGCGGTCACTTACTGGTTTATTGAGGTCAGCTCCAGCTTCCTGGAGCAGCCGTACCATCTCAGCATCTTTATGGATGATAGCCACGTGTAGGGGAGTGTGGCCTGAGGACAGAGTGACAAGCATAAGAACATGGGCATGAGGAGCCCAGGCCCCAAATGCTATAATCCCAGAACAGGGCCTTGTGATCTGTGAGTGTGGAGGTAGAGGGTCTGGCACCAGAATTCATGGGAATAAAGGGACTTCTGGGCCAGTCCAACATCTATATTATGAGCTCTCTGGTGACGCTGAGCAGAGCCGTCTATGGGTGGGTGAGGCCTGGTGTGGGTGAACTAGGAAGTGAGTCCCTGGGGTCTAGCTCTTGGGCTAGTCTGTGGTCTTATTTTTTCAAAGGACTTGGGTCCTAAGTAGCTGAGGGACCTGTAACTTTGAGAAGTGGATGGACCCAAACATGGCGACTCCAGTCTATTTCTGGACTGGAGGAGGGACCTGGTTTTAGGTGGTCAGGACCAAGGTGGAGGACCTGAGACTTAAATCTCAGGACCCCAGGTCGATGATGCCATTTTCCTGTGAGGTCTGGTGAAGGAGGACAGCACCGGAGCCCTGGGAGCCATACAGCCAGTTTCATAAAAGGCTTGGGCTTTGAATTCTTCAGGCCTGGGAGGACACGAGATGGTAGGTGGAGGGAAGTGTCCCAGCCATCCTGGGCCTTGCAGGTGGGAAGCCTGGGTCCCATTAACTGGATCCTGGTAGTTTGAATTCACATGTGGATCCGTGGGAGAAAGATGGGCAATCTCACATGGGTGACTTGTCTGAGATAAGAGATCCTGAGTGCCGTATGTCCAATTCTCAACTCTCTCTGGGGTCCCCAAATCCTAACTTTTATCTTCCAGGCAGCCTGGGCTTGAGTACATAACCAGCTGCTCTGCCTTCAGATTGCAGCGAGACCCTCACCCTCATAGTTCTCAGTTTCAAGTTGCAGCCTCCAGTCCTCCTCACTCTCCTCCTCTTCCTTCTCCAAGTCGGAGGATAAGGCAGCAGGGGAGTGGTCAGGAGTGTGAACAGGGCCCTGGACATCGCAGGTGTTGGGGGCTCCCCTGTGGGGCTGTGGGCGGGGCTGCAGCAGCATGCGGGCACAGTCATGAGCTCCTGTGCGGCAGGCCAGGTGCAGTGCGGTGTGGCCCCTGCGCTCGGCCATGCGCACACCAGCCCCTGCTGTGTATAACTTCTCCACCGTGGTCGCCTCCCCCAAGATGGCTGCCAGGTGCAGGGCTGTCTGCAGGATCAGAGGGCAAGGGTTAGGGTCACACTGTGAATGTGGGTCACCCCTTAGCCCTACGCTGGCCCCCGGTGGCTCACCTGGCCCAGATCATTCTGCAGGTCTAGGTACTCTGTGCCCACTGCAAAGCTCAGGAGGAAATCCAGGAAGGGCTCGTGTTGATGAATCACTGCCAAGTGCAATGCCCTGAGGACAAAGGGGTCAGAGGGCAGAAATCAAGCACTCTTGTATTCCTCCACTCAGACAGAAGGTGCAGCCAGAGTGCTCCTTGGAGGCAAAGAGAGTGAAGCTTCATCTCACATACTTTGGGCATTTTGCTGTTGTTGTTGTTGTTGTTAGGTACCTCATGCCTCACAGCGACCCTTTGAACAGCCATCCTGAAACTTGCCCTGTCCTGTGCCGTCCTCATCATCTCTGACACACTAGATCCCATTGCTGAAGTCACAGTGTCAATCCACCTCGCTGGGAGGTCTTCCTCTCCTTTGTCCATCTTTCCAAGCATGTTGTCCCTTTCCAAGGAACAGCCACACATCTCCAAAGTATAAAAGATGCTTTGTCATCCTTGCCTCCAAGAAGCATTCTGGCCATATCCTTTCCTGGAAATACATATCTGTTTGTTTTTTGGGCAGTGCAGTTGGAATATTCAGTACAATCTTCCAGCGCCACAACTCAAAAGCATCAATTATTTTGTCATCCTTATTCACTGTCCAGCTCTCTGATGCACAGCAGGTGACTGGGAAGACCATAGCCTGAATCAAGTACACCTTAGTTTTCAAACTGACATCATTTACGCTTCTGTATTTTGGAGGTCCTTGACAGCAAACTTGCCCAGTACAATATGTCTCCTGATGTCCTGACTCCTGGTTCTGAGGGTGTTGACTGCTGATCTAAGCAAGACAAAAGAACTACCAGCTTCAATCTTTTCTTCATCTATCATTATGTTGACTGTCGGGCCTGTGGTGAGGATCTTTGGCTTCTTGATGTTGAGATGTAATAGATACCAAAGGCTGTAGTCCTTGATCCTCTGCAACAAGCGTTTTATATCCTCCTTAACTGGACATGTTGCTAGGAGAGGTTATTCCTTGGAGAGGGACATGGTGCTTGGAAAGGTGGAGGGACTTTGAAGAAGACCCTCAACCAGGTGAACTGACAATGACTGAGGCAAGGGCTTCAGGGTATCGGAGATCACGAGGATGGCACAGATAGATCTGGTGTTCAAAGATCGCTGAGTCACACTTGACTTGATAGCACTGAACAACAATAATAAACAGAGCACCTCCCAGATGTTAAGCATTGTGACCCCCAGATCTGGAGCCAGTTGGCAGATATCTGGGAGGGTCAGAACCAAAGTAATTTACAGCCATTAAGTTGATTTCGACTCGCAGTGATACCATAGGACAGACTGTTGTCACACAGAAAAGAGACTGCTTATCTTTTTCCCACAGAGTAGCTGGTGGACTCAAACTGCATACCTTTGGGTTAGCAGCACAATTCCTTACCACTAGAACTGCCTTCTGGGTTCCCAAGGCGATAAATCTTTCTAGTAACAGGCTGCCTCATCGTTCTCCCATGAAGTGGCCGCTGGGTTCAAACCACCAATCTTTTGTTTAGGAGCCAAATACTTAGTTTTGTTTTGATTTTCTATTCAGCAAGTGAGTTGTTACATACTCCTTAACGGATTCCAACTTCCATGGCCACCGTCCTGCTTGGAGCCAAATACTGTGGTGGGGTTTTTTTTTGTTTGTTTTTTTAGCCAAATACTTTCAACTGCAGGTAGACCAGGGTTCCTAGGAGGGTCAGTGACCAAGAGTTAATTCGGCAAGATGGCTGCTTCTGAGATGAAGTGACATGGATGAGATTTTCCACCACCTCAAACCAACAAAAATAGGAGACAAAACATAAGAAATAAGCATTCTCAAGACACTGGGCAGCGTGCAATAAAGGACCGTGATCCTAGAGAGACAGAAAACAAGCAAGTGAGCTTTCCAAGCAAATGCCACTACTTATTGTGCTTTTTTGAGTTTCCAAGTCACAGCTCACTGAAAAGGGAAAAGCCAGACAGAGCCCAGTAAGTAAAAAGTGTGAGCTGAAGAAATGGTGGCTAGAGTTTGCAGGATAGAAAACAAGAGGAAAGAGTTATGGAGAGTACAAGAGCATAGAAAGCTAGAACCTTGGAAGTCTGCAGGGATTCTACCAGTACTCGGCAGTATATGTCCAAATGGCTTGGAGACTCTTGTCCTCATCATTCACAGGGTCAGGATTAATGACTGTTCATAAGAACTAGATTAGAAAACTCAGAATTCGGCGAGCTCTGGTGGTCTAGTGGCAGGAAACTGCACTACAATCCCAGAGGTGTGCGATTCAAATCCACCAGATGCTCTGCTGAAGAAGGAGGAACAGTCACCTCCTGTACCAGTCAGATCCAATTTGACGGTACACACATTAAAAAAAAACCAAACAAACTCAGAATTCCCAAGGCACTTGAGTAGAATCCTCAGGAAGCTCCTGCAACTTGGTAAGTCAACTCACTGCCCTTGAAACTGACTTACAGCTGATCCTCCTGTGGGTCTTCTTCCTGGTATAGATCACACTAACTGACACTGCTCATCTTTCTCCCATAGAGCCAACAGTAGATTCAAACTGCCAGAGAGGTTCTCTGGATTAGCAGCACAACTCCTTACAGAATACACTACCAGAGCCACCCCGGAGCCCTATATAGAGCACTACCCCAGACCTACTTTACAAATCATGGAAGCAAAACCTAAGAGGTTCAAACTATTCCCAAGTAACTTAATGACACTAAAACAAGACTTAGAATGTGTTGTCTACAGAAATTTAAAAATATTAAGCATCTAGAAGCCAGAATTTACAATGACAAATTGCATTAGGAAAGTCTGCTGTCAGAGACCTCTCCAAAGTACTGAAAAGCAAAAATGTCAGTCTGGAAACTAAGGTGCACCTGATACAGGCCATGGTCTTTGTAATTACTTGCTATGCATCAGAGAGCTGGACAATGACTAGGGATGATAGAAGGAAAGTTGATGCCTTTGAGATTTGGTGCTGGAGAAGAGTAATGAATATACCATAGACAGCAGTCCTAGGAGAACAAACAAGTTTGTCCTGGAGAGGGTAAAACCAGGCTGCTCCTTGGAGGCAAGGATTCTGAAGCTCCATCTGACATACTATGGACATGCTGCAAGGCAGGATCTGTCCTTAGAGATAGATGTCATGCTTGGGAGAGTGGAGGGACAGCACAGGAGAGGAAGACCCTCAATGAGATGGATTGATTCAGTCACTGGGGAAATAGGGATAGGCGTGTCAGAGACAGTAAGACTGGCAAAGGATAGAGCAGGGTTAAGGGCTGTTGTACATAGGGTTACTATGAGTCACAGGTGACTCGACAGCACAGAACAACAACAGAATCTAATAAAAGATTTTCATACAAAGAAGCAAGAAAATACCAATCAGAATGAGAATGATCAGGCAAATGAAAATGACACAGATGTTGGAAGTATCCAAGAGAGCCTTTCCCCAGCTGCCATTCAGGTGCTCGGTTATTCCGGGGAAGCTAAGGTCGTGTTGGGGTGTGGCCCTCACTTCATCCAGCAACCAGCACCATGCCCAGCAGCCATCAGCTTAGTATCCCCACACCATGGCCTTCGTCTCTGAGCTCACCTGCATCTACTCAGCTCTCATCCTGCACAATGATGAGGTAACCATCATGGAGGATAAAATCAACACGTAAGGCAGCTGGTGTCAACGTTGAACCTTTCTGGCCTGGTCCGTATGCCAAGGCCTCGGCAAAGGTCAACATAGGGAGCCTCATCTGCGATGTGGGTGCTGACGGACCGGCCTGGCAGCTGGTGCCACACCAGCTACAGTGCCTGCTTGCTCCACTGCTGCTGCTGACCGTGGAGCAAACAAAGAAGAATCTGATGTCGACATGGGATTTGGTCTTTTTTATTAAACTATTATTATTATTAACAAATATAAATTATTTAGTAAACACGTAAGTGTTAAAAAAGCTGAACTCTTGTTTGCTTAAAAAAAAGAAGTATGTAACAGAAACAAAGTTATTATAACTGAATATCATATGTTCAAATAGTTAAATAGAGACATGGTAGATAAACGAAAAGGATCAAACCTAGAGAAAAAAAACTACAGCATCTAAGATGAAAATTACACTGAATAGGATGAAGAACAGATTAGCTTTAAGCAAATCAATGCAAAATAAATATTAAAACAAAAAGAATAGGTTAGCTACTGGTGAAGAGCAATTGGTGAATTTGAAAACACAACAATAGGAATGATACAGAATGAAACAAAGAGAATAAAAAGATCTTTTACAATCCCAGAGGCGCATGGTTTGAATCCACCAGATGCTCTGCTGGAGGAGAGACCATCTCCTCCTGTACCAGTCAGATCCGATTTGATGGCATACACACACACACACATATACACACACAAGCTGTAAGAAAATTTTAAGTAACTGAACATATATGTGAATGAAGTCCCTATAGGACAGAGGGAAGAAAAATCTATTTCAAAACAAATCTTCGCAAATATGTTGGAGGAGATAAGCCTGTAAATTCAAGAAACTCAATGAGCCCAAAGTACATGAATCATGAAGAAAACTATAAGGTACATCATAATCAAATAGCTCACAACCAGTAGCAAGCAAAAAAAATGTTAACAGCAGTCAGAGGAAACAGAAAGAAACAAACAAAAACAACCTTAATGGAGGAAGTAAAAGATGAAAGCAGATTTCATGTAAGGCAACGATGTCGGTCTGGAGACACTAAGGTGCACCTGATACAGGCCATGGTCTTCATAACTACTTGTTATGCATCAAAAAGCTGGAAAATGGTGAGGGATAATAAGAGGAGAATTGATACCTCTGAGCTGTAGTGCTGGAGAAGAGTACTGAATATACCATGGACTGAAAGGAGAATAAACAGGTTCGTCCTGCAGAGGGTTAAACCAGGCTGCTCCTTGGAGGCAAAGATTCTGGAGCTCCTTCTGACACTGGGCATGATGCAAAGAGGGACCAGTCCTTGGAGAGGGACATCATGCTTGAGAGTGGAGGGACAGGGCAAGAGAGGAAGACCCTCGATGAGGTGGATTGAATCAGCGACTGTGGCATTGAAGGTAAATGTGTCACAGACAATAAGGTTGTCTCAAGATAG